TGGTGCCTAACATATAGCCCAGCCCAGAGGAGGCATCAGCTAACATGTAAAGAATGATTTAGGCCCCCTAGAATCAGCTCCAGAGTAGCAGCAGGGTCTTGTCTTAGAAAAGGGCAAGATGTGACAAATTGAAAAGGGGAACATGTTGGCTTGGGCATTGGGGCACTGCCTAAAGACCAGCAAGAGATAGCCTGAGGTATTCCTGGCTGATTTGAGATATGAGGAGGCCATGTTCTAGTTCTAGAGTTGGCATCGAACCTAGTCTGCTTCTCATAGACAGGTGGGTTAGAGCCAGTCCCTGTATTCCCTTAACTTCAGATAAAGATTGCAGAGGTTTTAGTTACGGATGGTGGCACATGCCTATTAATCCCAGCACTCTGGGAGGCTGAAGCAGAACTGCAAGTTCTAGCTCAGCCTGGGAAATTTAGCAACTTAGCAAGACCTGTCTAAAACAAAATTCAAAAAGGGGTAGAGGGGCCGGGGATTTAGCTCAGTGGTCCCGCTGCCTGCCTCGCAAGCACAAGGACCTAAGCTTGATCCCTGGTACCAAAAAAAGGTGGTGGTGGGGTAGGGATGTAACACAGAGCAAAGGCTCTGGATTCAATTCCCAGTTACCAGCCCCCCCAAAAGAAAAAGATTGTGTAATACCCTCATAACTCAGTGTTAGAATACACATGTAATACACGTGAGACCCCTATTTCCATTCCCAGCACTACCAAATAATAGATTGTACAGGCTGCTGAGGGACGTTAAGTAGATCTGGAATAAGGTTAAGTCAGTCAGAGCTGGCAAGGTCTTCCTAAGTCCTTATGAAGGAAATAAATGGACAGCTATCAAGTGCTTTATGGTTAAACAAAAATGTAACTCCTTCAAACATGGGTGGTGCTGGTTCTTCATGTACATGGTACACTTGTTTCTTGCTGTAAGGCTGGAAGTAATCTTTAGAGAATATAATCCTCAAACTCCAATTTGTAATGTTTGAGGTAACAATTTAATAGCTGAGTGAGATTTTGAACTGGGTGTCTTGGTGCTGGGTCTTACCCATAGTGGAGCATCTCTTGTCCCCCTCCCACTAGTGTTGTCACTGGAGTGGAATCTTTGTGTTTAAAAAACTGGGTTTCAGATATAGAAAGGCTTTCTTGCCTCTGCTCTACAAGTAGAGAATAAGAGTTTTAAGTACCAAGGGGCTACTCTGTAGAATGAGGCAAGGCATCAGCTGCGTGCCGCTCAGCTTCTTGAGGTTCTACACATCCATCTATGTTCCTGAATGTTACTGTATCTCCACCCACCTCGGGCAAGCTACCCGTGTGCATCACTTCTTTATAATCATTGGCAGGGAGTCCGGACTTAACCTTTTTATAGGTGGTTAAAGTTGTTTGTTTTGAGTCAGGGTCTTGCTCTGTAGTTCAGGCTGGCCTTGAACTCAGTAAATAGCCCAGGCTGGTCTTGAACTCATACCAGTCCTCCTGTCTTAGCCTCCCAAGTGCTGGGATTATAGGCATGTACTGCCATGCCCAGCTCTAGCATTGTTAAAAGTTTGGTTTTGTTTGTTTGTTTGTTTTTTGGTATCAGAGATTGAACTCTGGACCTTTCGCTTGTGAGGCAGTTCATGGAATTTAGCTAAATCCCCAGCCCTGGTATGGTTAAGGTGCTAGTTAGATGACCAAGAGCCTGATCAGCTTGTGGGGTGAAGCAGTTTATGGCAGGTAGGGAATCATCATTTCCATAAGTTCCTGGCATGTACCCTCCTGCCTTTCCTCCTGGAGGACGTTGCTAGCTGCCAAGCATCCACACATTAACCCTGACTATAGGAGATGTTAACTTTGGAAAGAGCTCAGGTAGGGAGTAAGCTGCTTGGAGTGAACTTTGAGCAGGGATTTCTGACTTGGAAACATTAAAGTATCTACTACATACAAGGCACTCAAGGTAGATGCCACAGGAAACTTAGTACTTATTTCCTGTGTTTGTATGCTGTTACAACACAAAGGTGAAGGATCGCTTGTAGAAAAAGTGTATCCCTAGGGGGCTCACCAAAAACACAAAACCAAAAAATTAGAAGCTAGTCACATTGATGGCACATGCCCGTAAATCCCATCTACGTAGAAAGTTGAGACAGAGGTATCATAAGTTCAAGGCCAGTCTGGGCAGTTTATTAAGACCCTGTTTCAAAAAATAAAAAGGACTGGGGATGTAGCTCAGTTGTAGAGGACCCCTATGTTTGACCCCCCCAAAACAAAACAAAAAAAATTAAACCCACCTTCATGGGAAGATCAGGGCAGGCTTGGTAGATGTAGCTCCTGGGCTAGAAATTGCTAGCCAGACAGAAAAGGAAGGCCAGAGGCTAGAAGGGCAGGGAAGTATAGAGCACCAGTGCAGTGGTCACCATTCATCCTCAGAAGATGGATTGTAGGCCCTTAGGGCTGTGCTGAATCTGCCATGTATAAGACATGTATTCCTGCCAGCCCTGGTAATATACCTGTAATCCTGGCACTCAAGATGATGATACAGGAGGATTACAAATGTGAGGCCAGCCTAGGTTTCATGAGATCCTGTCTCAAAACAGAACAACAATAGCAAAAGACTTGTATTTGTGAAGTCTCCATTTAACTAACTAAAGTGACTCAAGGCAGTGTACATAGTCTACATAGTCAAGTAGAACTCAGCTCAGAGTGGTCTGAAGCTGGAATAAGCAGCTAGGGTTCTAACCCAAGACTGGTATGTTCTAGGCTCTGTTAGTGCCAGGAGTACAATTAGTGGGGGCTCTTTTTTTTTTGGTACCAGGAATCGAACTGGGGTCCTTGTACTTGTGAGGCAGGCGGCAGCACCACTGAGCTAAATCCCTGGCCAGTGGGGCTCTTATCTGTTTGTCCTTTGGGGGAAAGCACACATTGAGCAAGTCAACCATGGACTTGCCAAGTAAGGCTTTCCAGAGAAGTGTACCTGAAGATAGTCAAGGATACTTGGGCCTCAGGGGAGAATACAAGGGGCTTTAGCATTAAGAGATGCTCTTTTGGCAAGAGGTTATGGCTCAATAATAGAATGCATGTGTAGGATGTAGAGATCCTGGGTTCCATTCACAGGACTGAAGGGCAAAAAGGAGCCAAAGAGACTAGAGGTTGGGAGGCTAGGAACTCTGAGTCAGTCCATTATGCTAGAACACAGAGTAGAGATGAGGTAAAGGGCATAATATGATCTAAGATGGACTTCATGCAGGAGTAGAAGTCTGGAGAGCACTAGGAAGCCACTGAGGCATGTGAGCTGTGATGTGAGGGGTTTGTGCATGACAGATTGTACATGAGATTGAGCTCAATGGTTTATGTGATCTTGAAGCCCAAAGGGCTGAGTGGTCAGGTGAGACACACACACAAACACACACACCCGCCCACCAATGTAGAACAGCTACTCAGGGTGGTGGTTGTGGTGTGGTAGGGGCATGCTTTGGGCTCTATCCTTCAATGAGGTTTGGAGGAGTGGTCAGCTCTTAGAGGAGTGGTCAGCTCTTGGTTTCCCTGTCTGGCCCTGAAGCATTGCTCCTGCATAGATCCCTGCCACTTTTAGAACTCCCTGATTCTTATTCCCTATGGCAAGGTTAGCCAACATTTGCTCCCTGGTCTGGTGAGGTCATACATCCTGACCATTCTGATGGGTCTGCAACCTACCCAGGGATCTGCAGGCCATGAAACTACCAGGAAGGTAACCAGCTTGAACTCCTGGCCTGGCTCTTCCACTTCCTCTCCAGATATATTCTTTCCTGAGCCCTGTGTTCTCACCTGTAAATCGGGGCATTTGTGGCTAAATGTGTGAATGCTGAATGGGCTTTTAGTCCCTTCCTTATAGTTCCTTTTCTTTAATCATGATGGTAGGGGATGAAGAAGGCTTTGTGCTCAGTGGAGGTGTACACAGTGTGAGCAGAGGCACATAGAATGGAGGTAAGGAAACCCAGAGATGTGGAGTGTGGTGGCATAGGTAGGGAAAGCATTCTTGGCACCTGGCCACCTGGCTTCTTGGAGTCCGTCCTGGAGGACAAAACAGTCTACCAGGCCTGAGCTGGAAGGATTTCTGGGTACCCATGAGGCTGGCCCTGTTGTCTAGCTAGCTTCCATGGACCCCTGGCTCCTGAAAGCTTGGGTGTGCATGAGTAGTATGACATGGTGGGATTTCCCAGGCCATCTTCTTCCTCTTGATCTAGCTTTATAAAGGACTCAGATCATTTCCCTGGTCAGTTCCTCCATCACCCTCTTTTTTGTCTGTACATGCATTTCTTGCCTTTACTAAGTGGTGTGTTCCTGTTCCTTGAAAGTAGCATCTGGTGTTGGCCTGGTACTTTGCTAAATACCTCTAATGTCTACTTGGTCAGCCTTCTGGAGCAGGCAGAAGCCACTAGGTGGCTAGGTGGTAGGAGCAGAGCCATGCTCATGATTTGGGAATGAACCTGAGCTCCTCCCTGCACTTTGGCTCTGCTATTTAGCCTTTGGATTCCTGACTCTACATGAGAAAATGGGGTGGCTCTGATTGTTATTTCCCTTCAGCCCCTCTATAGATTGGAGAAGGGATCTTTTCTGGGTTCATATTTTATGGAAGGTTGAAGGCATCTATTGGAAGATGGGTGCCCCTGCCAGGGGAACCCTCAGTCCTCTGGCAAATGGAGTCATTACCTCTAGAGAACCACTGGGCCCAAATGGGGTGAGGTAGAACTGCCTTCTGCAGCTGAGAGTAAGCTATGGGATCTACTCCCTGGGATAGCAGATTCTTGTTATTGGAAGTTTCCAAACAGAAATATTCTCTTCTGTGCTTCTAGGGCTAAACTTGAGAAAGATGGTCTTTGGAAGTTAGCCAGACCAGTCTCTAGTTGAACCACAAGGAGACAGGCACAGAGCAGAGTGCTGGCTTGCAGATGCAGCTGACTTTCACTTGGCCTGGCTAGAGAGAGAGTTGGTTTGAAGGGGCCTGAGTCCTTACCAGAGGACTGTTTGTGACCCACATGTGTGTTTCCTTTGCAGGACGAGATTAGACGCACCCCGGTTGGAAACAAAGTCCATTTTGCCACCCAGCTATGCTTCAGATCGCCTGTCAGGAAACAACAGAGACCCTGCTGTGAAACCCAAGCGGTCCCACCGCAAGGCAGATCCTGATGCTGCCCACAGGTACTCCTATAAGGACCTTCAACAAAAGCCAAAAATAGCTGGGCATAGTGGCATGTGCTGTAATCCCAGCTGCTCCTAAGGCTGAGAGGCCACCATGGGCCATTTAGTGAGACCTTGTCTCAAAATAAGGAGCAGAGTGTGGTGGCACACACCAATAATCCTGGTACCTGGAAGGCTGAGGCAGGAGAATTGTGACTAAAGGCCTGCCTGGACTATATAGCAAGACCCTACCTCAAAAAATTTTAAAAATAGGCCGGGGATTTAGCTTTTTTTTTTTTTTTTTTTTTTAATAAAAAGGATTGGGTATGTAGCTTAGTATTCCCTGGGCTCACTCTCCACTGCCAGGATGGGGAGGCAAAGTAGCCCCTGCCCTGGATGCAGGGTGGAATGGGTTGAAAAGCCTAAGTGGTAGGGTAGGGGTAGGTTGTTTAGGAACCTCGAGCTTCTTACCCTTCCAAAATCTTGTCCAGTTCCTTTGTAATGGTGGCTTTCCTGCTTGATTCCTGGCCTGCTGCCTACATCCCCAGAGAGAAGGAATTGGGCACTGACACATGGCAGTGTGTCATGGCCTTTGCATGACTTCTCTGGTTTAGTCCCACCTGATCACACAGTTGTAGGCTTATACTTGTGTGTTACAAGGGAATCTTGGCACTGAGAAGTGAACTGACGACCTATTTGAGAAGGTTTGGGGATGGTAATTTTTAAATGAGATCAGAAGGATGAGGAGAGGAGAGGAAAGTCATTCTAGGCAGGAAGAACTTTATGGGCTGAAGTTGTGAAGCAGAAAACACCTTAGTGGTTTCAGAGGCTGTTTGGGTTGGTGAGTGTTTCGGAGTTGAGATGCTAAGGTAAATGGTAGATTTGGTAGGGTCCTGGGCACTAGGCTCAAAGCTAAGCAGACCCCACAGGGTGACTGGGAGATGTTTAAAGGATGAGGAATAGCCACTGAACATTTAGTGACCAGGAACCTTCAGTGTCAGTGCTTCTGCCTAGAACCACTGAGCTTGCATCCCATCTGAGACCAGGCAGAGGTGATGAGGTCAGGCCCCACCTGCTGACCTCTCAGGTAACATCTCTTCCCCCTTTTTCCTTGTAGGCCCCGGATCTTGGAGATGGACAAGGAAGAGAACCGGCGCTCAGTGCTGCTACCCACCCGGCGGAGGGGTAGCTTCAGCTCTGAGAATTACTGGCGCAAGTCCTATGAGTCCTCAGAGGATTGCTCGGAGGCAGCAGGCAGCCCTGCCCGAAAAGTGAAGATGCGGAGGCACTGAGGCCTACTCACCACCCTGCTGGGAACTCTGGCTTCTCACATAGCTGCCCCTCCTTTTGTTTTGTTTTGAGAGTTTTTTGTTTGTTTTTGATCCTATATATTTTTTCCCTGATTCATTGCCCATTAAGGCTAAAGAACAGAATTGCCCTGGAATTGACCCTGGGTTCTCATGTTCTTAGCTTTCTTCTTGGAAAGGCTGTTGTTGCTTGTCGGGGGCAGAGGCTCGTGCTGGAGTAGCCAGTCAAAGCGTGGGGGGTCAGCCATCTTCAAGTGGGGCTGGGTTTATTTAAAAGCAAGAAAATGTTTTGGTTAAGAAATTTTCATTTTTTGCTTTAAACATAAATCTTTGCAGTGTTCTAAACAAAGTTCAGTTTCCTGCCTGCCCTTTTCCTCCACCGATGTCTGCCCTTGGTTGAGGTCTCCTGGAACCAGGCCTGCTCTGCATGGGGCTGCTTCCCCGACTCTCACCTGTTCTCCATCCTCTGGAAGCTCATGCAGATACCGTCTCTTCTTTCTGTGACAGAACTGTCTGGGTTGGCAGGAAGTAGAGGGTTTAAACCGAGTCCCTGCCATTCTAAAGCTAGTGTTGAGCCCTCTAGGCTTCCTTCATATTCTTCTTGGGCTGCCAAGGGACTAGCACAGTGGTCCTGACTTCTCTTGCCAAGAGCATGCCTCTTTGCTGGGTTGCTCCTTTCAAGCACATGTGTGGGATTGTATGGAAATTAGACTTGCCATGTTGGGTCATTTTAGGAGTTGTTTCTAGCTAGAGGGACCGATGTCCTTCCAAGTCTAGCATTTGGGGTATGGGAAATCGTTGTGGTATATGGTAGGGTTTTTATTTTCTTTTTGAGTTTTTATTTTTTCCTTTGGTCTCTTGGCTTTCTCCTTTTCCTTTCTCCTTCATTGGTCAGCTTGGACCTCTTCCCAGTGTCATCCCTCCTAAGAAGGTGCCACCTCTTCTGTTTGCCCGCAGCATGCATCCAAGGCCAGAGCTCAGGCTTACATACTGGGTTGGTGCCTTCTCTGCCTCAGGGGCATGGGAGCTCAGGAAGGGGCTTCTAGAAAATAACAAAGAAAAAAAAGGTGAGGTCTCGGCAATTTCTACCTATTCAATTCTAGAAGGCTGCAAAGTTTTGCTGATCTAGATTCATTAGGAATGTCATCTTGCCAGTCTGGCCAGGACTTGGCTCTGTCAGAAACAGAGACCCTCCTGGCAACCAAGCCACCATCAGTCTAGAGGGTTTTGTATAGAGTCCCCAGCCTGAGACCTCCGATGCTGCAGGAATCTGGGGCAGCCACCATCAAGAAGAACCCTTCTCTGGGGCCAGAACTCCTTTGTCAGCGTGAATTCCTCAATTTGGGACTGCATCACTAAAGCAGTTGCAGTTTTATTTTTTTTACAGCTTTTTTCCCAAAAATGATTTGTAGTTGTGTGTGCAGCACTTTGCCCTGATATGTGTGCTCTACAATAAAAACCAAATCTAATATATTTTGAAACAGTTGTCTGATATTGTTGTAAAAGAAAACTTGCCTTTGGGCTTCCTTCATCCCTTTATTTTATTAAAAACCCTTAAGCAAGGGTTGGGAAAGCAAAGCGCATTGTTCTCCAGGACCTTCAAGGAGGTAGTTGGTCACTCACACTGGGCCTCCTGATGGCTAAAGGTAGACTTGTCCTCTGCCCACTGACCTCTTTCCTCTGCAGGGGAGGATAGCCTTCATTAACCGTGGTGTCCAGGGGCCACACACTCCCTAGTATGATCACAGCCTGTACACCTTCTGCTGAGGGAAAGGCACCCTGAACCAACGCAGGGAGAAGCCAGCTTTTGTAAGAATGTAAATGTGATCTTAGTAATCAATTTTTCAGCTCCCACTATATGCTAGTCAAGCCCTCACTGGAACCCAAGTAGTGGGTAAAACCTTTCTGGGCCCTCTCTTCCAAATACAGTAGTGTATAGGATACAGAGAAAGGCATTTTTGGGTGGGGCAAGACACAGGCCCAGAGGGCTTTAGTCTCTCCTGATCCCTGACCAACTTGGCTCGCAGGGCCTGGTCAAGAGCTTCAGCCTAGGGTTTCCCTCACTGCATTCATTGCTCAGAGCCAATTGGCTTGACCAAATTCCTGCTGTGGGAACTGGGACAAACTGCTTTACTGCCCACATACGATAACAGAAGAGAATCCAGAGGGGACAAATGGCTTGCCAGGTCCCAGTGTGAAAATTGCCAGGGCAGAAAGGATCGAGGACCTCTGGATGGTCTGTGCCACATGAACCAGGAGGGGCAGCACCGATCTCGGCACAGTGGAACTGAAGGAAGTGACTTGTTGAACATCCATCCAGATTATTTATGGCAAAGGTAAGTATTCCCACCCCATGCCTGGGCCCCTGGTTCTAGGGGGCTCTGCAAAAGGATAGAGATTGGGAGGGACCCTTTTCTGGTAGCTGTGACAAAGTCAGACCATAGCTTTTCCCAGTCCCTGGGTGAAGAAAAAAGGCTCTTCACCATTAGAGTTGAGGGACAAAAGGGGCTTTGACTCCAGTTCTTGACAATAGCCCTTGGCATCCATCTGTGTGAGGTGATAAACCCTAGCAGGCCTACCAGAGGACCACACCTGACTCTTTGAACCTGTCCCCACCACCTCACAGGGCACCATGCCTAAGGGTTCCCACACCTCACAGGGCACTGAGTCACATCCATCTCTGTCCCCAGCCTGTTCTACTATGTACCAGGTGATTCAGTACCAGCCCTACCCGCATAGAATTCCATTTAATTCTGCCAAACCTATTGTGTGAAAGAGAAGTCCAAGGCCCAAAGAAGTGAGAGAGTAGCTGAAAATCACATTTGTTTATTCAAAAAAATGAGTGCTGCCAAGCTCAGCACTCTGGAGATTCAAGACATATAATATCTCATACACCTGAGGGTAGTATGTACTGTACCGATACAACAGGAGTGTTGCACATAAATTATAGAGGTGTTTTTTGTTAGATTTTTTTTTTTTTCCTCTTTTCATTTTGCAGTACTGGGAATTGAATCCAGGGCCTTTGCATTGAACTACATCCCCCATCTTTTTTGAGACAGCATCTCACTAGATTGCCTAGGCTGGACTTGAACTTGTGATCCTCTTGCTGCACTCTCCCAGTGTGTCAGTACTTTTTAGTGTAAATTCCATGTAGCCAGTTGTTCCTCATAGAATGCTTTCCTTGGCTTTATTGCTAAATTTGGTGTTTGTCATCTGCCTGTGGCTGTATAAGAGATGATCAAAAAATATGATGTGTTTTAATTTTTAGATTTACAGTAAAAGACACTTGGCCATTCTCCCTCAAAATATTCCCCCTTGTTTGAGCACACTTATGCCACATTCTTGCTGCTTTCAAAGATGTTCTAGGAATCCTTTCATGTCTTTGAGATGTCATCAGGAATACCACAATGCACCTGTGGAATGCTACACACCAGAAAGGCATGGCGGTACAACATGAAAGTGTGTCTTCATCTGCATTTGCCATATCTGGTACTTCGTAACTTCTGGCTCTTCTCCAAAGTAAAAATGACCATGAAAGGTAAATGTTCTGAGTCAATTGAGGCTATCAAGACAGCCATGGCAGTGCAACTAGAAACGTGAAAGAAAGACGGGCCAGGGATTTAGCTCAGGGGTGCCACCTCCTGCCTCCCAAGCGCAAGGTCCTGAGTTCAGTCCCCAGTACCAAGACAAAAGCAACAAAAACTCATGAAAGATGACTCCCAGAACTGCTTCAGAAAATGGCAAGAACAATGGGATACGTGTGTTTGAAAGAGGGGAGGATGTTTTGAGAGAAATTAATGGCAATGCCTTTTACTTAGTTTTTAAAAGAAAATCTACATTCACCACTTTTTAGTCACACCTTGTCAAGCGATGCATCTTACCTCCTGTGCTTGCTCTTTTCCTTTCTTGTTTTTTCTTTTCTTTGAAAGAAAGACTTATTTTGGCTCACAGTGCATCAGTTTCCTGGGGCTGCCAAAACAAATTAACACAAACTCAGTGGCTTAAAACAGCAGGAATTTATTCTCACAGTTCTGGAGTAAGAAATCCAAAATCACTTATTATTGGACTGAAATGAAGTCATGGAGGAGCCAAGCCCCATCTGGAGGTTCTAGTGGAAAACTCCCTTGCCTCTGACAGCTTCTGGTGGCTGTAAGCATGTTTTTCACTCTGGGTCACATGCCTGGTGTGTACCACGTATCCCCGTGACCTTCTCTTAATAGATATCTGTGATTGGGTATAGGGATGGATGCCTATTTCATCCAAAATAATCATCTAATGAGATGGAAGATTAATCACACCTGCAAACTTTTTTATGATGCTGGGGATGGAACCCAAGGCCTTTTGAAGGCTAAGCAAGTGCTCTACACTGAGCTACACCCCAGTCCCTGACCCTTTTTCTTTGAGGAAACGTTTCCAGGTTCCAAGGACAAGAACCTGGTAACTGGAGTTTACTGTTGAGTTTACCACAATGACTTTTCCCCCATGAATTGTTATTAAATCAGATAATATGATCTACTGATTCCTCAAAGAAATTATAGTCATTGGATTGAAATTTCTCAACATTAGTGCTGCTTTGAAGTATAATCCAAAATGTTAATATTTTCTTTATTGCTGTCTCTAGATCTGTGCTGGTACAGTATAGCCACTGGGTTTTTTTGTTTGTTTTTACTGTTGAGCACTTAAAATATGGCTAGTTTAAATTGAGATGTGCTTTAAGTGCAAAATACACACCAGAACTTGAAGTTGGTACAAAAAAATGTTAACTATATTGATTACATGTTTAAATCATGACTATTTTGGCTTAAATAAAAGATGTTATTTTAAATAAATTTCACCTATTTTTTTGTTTTGTTTTCTGTTTTGAATTTTGCTACTCAAGATTTTTAAATTTTACTTATTTTTTTTTATACTGGATGTTGAACCCAGGGTTTCGCTATGCAAAGTGCAGCACTCTACCACTGATCTACAAACCTAGGCCCAGGAATTTTAAATTACATACAAGGCTTGAAATTTTATTTCTGTTGAATGGCACTGGGCTAGGAAATCAACAATGATCCAAGCTTGCCTTGTGGTCACCAGTTTCCATGATGTAAGTACTGTCGAGTTGGCGGATTTCAACGTAAGGGTAGTGAACACGGAGTTGTGACAGATGTGCCGTAGCACACATATAATGTTTGTACCACGCAGAAACAGTAAATGTAAAGAGCATAGATATTTTCCTAACTGCTGACCATGAAAAAGACCAAAACATTAAAATAAATAGAGCATAGGGCTGGGGTATAGTGTAGCTCAGTAGTAGAGCATTTGCCTAGCATGCACAAAGCTCTGGACTTCATCCCCAGCACTGTAAAAAAATAGATTTTTAAAAAATAGTTCATACATAATGGTAAATATTTATTTGCAGGATATGCTTTCTTTTGAATATTAGCACCTTAGTTTTTAATGTAATTTAAATTTCATGTAACCTAGATTCACTTTTTTTCTTTTTTCCTCATTTCTGGGCTCTTTCTCTCCCTTTACTACTGAGCTACACCTCCAGCCTCCTAATTTGTTGTTGTTGTTGTTGTTTGTTTTTTGAGACAGGGTCTCACTATGTAGTTGAGACTGACCTGGAACTCACTATGTAGCCCAGGCTTTTCTCGAACTCACAGCGATCCTCCTGCCTCAGCCTCCCAAGTGCTGGGATTACAGGCATGTGCCACCACGGCCAGCAAGCCTCTTAATTTTTAATAATGACTGTTTGACTGACTTTGTAAAAATTCTTGAAAATTTGCCTGTTGAATCTTGGAACAGTGGCTGCACTACATCAGTGGGTTCTCACAGGAGCCTTTTGGAGAAAGGATGTGATCAGACTTAGGGTCTGTTGGACTACTGTGTTAAATGCAGTGAAAATCAGTAAGAAATAGCTCTACCCAGGAGTGTATGCCTGTAGTCCCAGCACTCTGGAAGGCTGAGGCCAGAGGATCACAAATTCAAGGTCAGCCTGGGCAATTTAGCAATTTGCAAGATTCTGTTTCAAAAAATAAAAAGCTGGGTGTGGTGGCACATGCCCATAATCCCAGCATTTAGGAGGCTGTGGCAGGAGGATCACTATGAGTTCGAGGCCAGTCTGGGCTACATAGTTCCAAGGCCAGATTGCACTGCATAGCAAGACCCTCTCAAAACAAAATTTAAAAAGGTCTGGGAATGTAGTTCAGTTAGAAGACCCTGAGTTCAGCCCTAAGTACAAAAAAAACAAAACAAACAAAACAAAACCTACTGTGCATTGGCAGGCCACCAGTAGGTGTGAAACCTAGGAACTAAGGCCCCACGTTTGGGGAGGAGGGTGTTGGAGCCTTGGGCCACGACAGGGTTGGGGGACCTGAGCTGGGAATCAGGTACATATTGCTGCAATTCTCCCTTGTGCCCACAGTGTGGCAGAAAAGACATAGTGAAGGTGCTTCAGCTGAGGGCAA